CTTCAATTAGAATTTTATATTTTATTCTAATAAATTATCATTAATAAATGGTTCACTTTTGAAAAAATATATATAGATTTTTAAATAAAAAACTTAGATTTTTATATATAAATTGCACTTCCGGTTAGATAAGTAGATACATACACAAACACATGCATATCTGCATAGAAAATCTAAGACCACATGTCGCCATATTGCAAAATTACGAAATAGACAAGACCTTTATATTTTTTAAAAAACACTTTTAAAATTAACATATTTTTGTAGCATTATTCATTTATGAAAATAAAATTAAAGATTTATTCAATTTTTTTCATTGAATTCATAAACCGGCCGGTATTATACATATGTACATATGCAAATGCATATACATATATTTCTATATACATATACGAGATAAAAGCATACTACATTTATAAAGGTAAAAAAATACCTATGCACATATTTAAATTATAAGAAACTTTTTAAAATTTCAAATTAATTTTTAAAAGATTTTCAAAAATAATTACAGTAAACACTTACCACTTTAATGTGTGAAATTATTTGAATTTATTTTAAAAATGGATGCTTGCAATTTCTTTAAATTTTTTTCGATTTTTAACAGACACAAAATTTTTTCCTGCCACTTACCTCGAGCACAAAAGACGGAAAGGCCGATTTTCACAATGCCCAAGATGCACATGCGCTGGAAAAGCGCATCATACCCATCAAATTATTCGCATATAGTATATCTAATATGGATGTGTCACAACGAATGAATGCACTAGTTTGATGGGCATCGAAAGCTTTAGCCCTTTTACTATTAGTGTAAGCGGGAAATTGTTATTGTCATAGAGACATGTGTGATTCAGTTTTCTTGGTCATTGTACCTCCACATCATGTAATTGTCAATGATGAGTGCAAATAGTAAATCGACAAAGGACATGTAAAGGGAAGGGAGGAGCGACGGGAAAAAAGCGGGGGAGAGAGAAGGGAAAACGAGAAATGAGGCAAAGGGCAACAAGGGACAGGGGGGGGGAAAAGGGCAAAGGAAGGACAAAGGCGGGGAAAGCGAAGAAGGAGAGTGGCCGGAGGGACACGAGAGGAAGCGAGCGAGCGAGCGAGCGAGCGAGTCGAGCGAGCGAGCGAGCGAGCGAGCGAGCGAGCGAGCGAGCGAGCGAGCGATCGAGCGAGCGAGCGAAGCGAGCGAGCGAGCGAGCTAGCGAGCGATGAGCGAGCGAGCGAGCGAGCGAGCGAGAGAGCGAGCGAGGCGAGCGACCGAGCGAGCGAGCGAGCGAGCGAGCTAGCGAGCGAGCGAGCGAGCTAGAGTAGCGAGTGATCGAGCGAGCTAGCGAGCTATCTGAGCTATCTATCTATCGAGATATCGATCTATCTAGCTATCTAGCTATCGTATCTATTATCTACCCTATCTATCTATCTATCTATATATCTATCTATCTATCTATCTATCTATCTATCTATCTATCTATCTATCTATCTATCTATCTATCTATCAATTTATCTACCTATCTATTTGGATGAAATTTGCTCTGTCAGTCAAGAACTGCCGGAGTTAGAGTGGTCAAAGTTGAACATTTTGGCCATACAGGGCCTTTTTTGCTCAAAAGCAAGCGTGTACAATTTCCTTAAGGGCTTTACAGTCACCTAATGGATGCAAGTGGGATATCAAAAAAGTACATTTTTTGACTCAAGAATAAGATTTTTCAATAATTTTTTAATTTTCCCCTATTTTTAGGATGAACGTTTTTTTTTGCTAAAAAGAAAACTTAGATAGACCATTTTCTTTAAGAGCTGTGTGGTCACTCAAAAAGGAGTTTCTGAGTTCAAATATTTTTTTGCAGTAAGAAAAAGTTATTTAAAAAAATTTAAGAATTTTTTTTGGTAATAGTGAAGAAATAGCTATATGAACTTTTGCTAGGACCAATAGGGTAAAAGTTATACTCATTTGAAAAAAAAAAACTGTATGACTAAAATGTCCAACTTTGACCCTCTCTAACTCCGGCAGTTCTTGACCGATTAAACTGAAAATTTGTGTCTGGCCAACTATATAATTAGATAGTACTAACTTTGCTACAAATTTAATCTAAATCGATTTTTTAAGTTGGGTCAATTGACACAAATTTGCCCATATACAAAACATATTCCAGTCGAATTTTATAACGATATAATTTTTTTTTAAATTAAGTGATTTTCACAGACTTTATGTGGGAGCTATTGAAAATTATAATCGTGCGTTTGCTCCCAAGACCTGGTACCTTGTTTCTGTTTATAAACAAAGATTTGTAATGCATCTTTTACTTTAAGAGCGGGTTTTTGAGATGGTAATCAAATGCCAATTAATAATCAGATTAGTTAATCTAAAAATAAATTTAATCTTATGTTAATTCCCTTTGATGTTTTTGAGTACAAGATTAAACTTCGCATTGTTGCCATACAAAACAACAGAAAACTTCACTGTTTGTTATCAAAACAATGCATATTTTATAAAAAGAAGAAGACAATTGTAAATTTAATATGAAAATTAATGAAAACTTAAATTAAAAACAAAAAAATGTATTTTGAAGTGTCCATAATTTATACCACAGATATAACAAAAACATGTTTCGAGGATTAATTTTAATTTAATCGCTAATCTTTCACCTAAAGATTGGCCCTAACAAATTCAAAATAGCAAAACTGTATAATACATAAAATCGCAAAATAATCAACACTGGACCGGCATTCACAAAAACATGACTCACACAAAAAGCAGAGTTCTCCATCCTAAAAAGTAAACTGAGAAGAAGCAATTTTTCAGCTGCAATTAATAACACGAAATTTTCCTATTAAATCAACAATAATAAAGTAAGTTAATAAATAAATAATAAATTTACGACCTAAACTAATCAAGAAATAAATAAATAACGAAAGTTATGGCAGATCCTCGTCTCAGACAGTTGTCAATCAAAACGGGTGTTGTTAAACGTTTGACCAAGGAGAAAACCGTATACGAGAAGGAAGTTTTAACAGAAAGGAAACGTTTGGATAAATTTAAGAATGAAGGAGCTGATGAACATGTTTTAAAGAAACAAGAAGAAGTTATACAGGAATGTCTGATGATGCTACCCGATTCCATGAGAAGGTAGGTTTCATGATTGAGTTATAATATTAGTCAACCGTGTTAGGAAGGTAAAAATTATAATTATTTTTTTTTAATTTTAGGTTACAAAAAGAGTTAGAAGTTTTGGATAAGTTTTTACAAGAGGAAAAAGATTTGGAAGAATCAAAAGAATACGAAGCCGCCAGTTTAGTTGTCAAGGAAGCTAAAGAAGTATTAGCGAAATCAACTTAAGAGACAGATTAAAGACTTACTTTCTCTTCCTTAATTTCCACTAATTTTAAAACACTATTTAGGCATTTACATACATATATTTTAATGATTTTATTTATAACCTATAATTTTTTTAACTCTTGCAAATAACTATTGTTAAACAATTAAAAAAATCTCAAATTTAAACAAAGCAATTATGACTGCTCCCTCTAACCAAGTGTCTCAGGTTAAATTAGCCATTAAACAAATTGTTGATAATCTACAGCAACTAGAAAAGCATCAAGATCCAGATAAAGATTTGCTTACCCTTAAAACTGACACCGAGCAGTTATTAAAACATTTGGAGAGTCTACCTTTAGAAGACATTCGAAATAAACTAAATAAAAGGCAAAGAAAAAGACACAACAAAAAATTGCAAAAACTTAAAAATAAGGAAATATCTAAGGTAATAAATAAACAAAATGGTAGCAAATTGTATGAGGATAACACCACATCTAAAGCTTCAAGGGATAATAAACCGAAATCCCATTACCAAAATAAAATTGTTAAAGAGTGTCAACGCTTTTTGCAAACTTTTGAATTATTGGAACAATTGCATTTATTACGTGGTCAAAATACCACAGAAACTTATAAATTTTCCTTAAAATTACGCCAATTGAAATCCATCTGGAATTGTTTATTGCAAGACAAGTTGCAAGAGCAAACCTCAGCAGAATTGAAAATAAAGCAGCAATGGGATGAAGTGTTGTTTGGTCCACCGGAGAAAACATATTTTCAGGAAAAACCAGATTTACAGGATTTTATAAGGAAAAGGTAAGGGAATGAATGATGTGTTTTTAATAGAAAAAATATTTATGTTTTTTATTTGTTTTGCAGGCAAATTTGGGACTCTTATATAGATAGTAAAAATGGTTCATCTATTCCCATAGGTTGGATTTTACCACCTGCAAAGACTGAGGGAAAATGGCTTCAATACCTTGCTCCAGCAAATGTTTAATTATGGAAATTTTAATAAAAATTAACTTGTTTTTTTATACAACTAATCTAATAAATATGTAAATGAAATTGTTTGGTTTGTCCATTTGTTACTAGATCAGGGCAAATACCCTGATTACAAGACTTGATTGGATACCATAAACCATTTTATGGAACCTTTTTTTTAAATATTTATACCAAATGTGTATGTATTACAGTAATAAACCACCTATTTTTCATTACTTCAGGTTAAAATTTGAAAGATTCCTTGACTTTGTTAAAAAATACCGGAACAGAGAGACGTACTGCAAACTATTTATCTAACAACAGTATGCGAAAAGGAATAGATAGATATACAACCCAATTGGTATAGATAGGAAGTCTCAGGATTCTATTAGTATCGGTTTAAATGGAGTACTTATTGGTAAATAGAAATTTGCTGTAGTTTCCTAAATTATCGTCTAATTAACGAAATCAAAACGTTTTGTACCTATATATAGGTATTACTTAATAATAATCTTTCAGTGCCCATATAAAATACTAAAAATAAATTCCTAAACTGATAACGATTTAGATGTCACCTTTAAATTATTTTTTTACAACTACGTCCTGTAATAAATTATACCTCTATGTTAACCATACCTCAGATGAAACCATTCTTTTTACCAATTACACACATCACATCTTTCCCACTACCAGAAAAACACGAAAAATCTTTTTTTGGAACTTTTTATAAAAGCATTTTTTTCTTCATTTTATTTTATGGAATTGTTGAGAACTTTTTTGCTTAATAACTAAACACACTAAAATGCCTGCTATAGAGCATATTTTCATTGATTGGAAATTGAAGACTGTTTTACAGTTTATTCATAAACCCAGTCAACGGCAGCGGGTTTCCAGTCAACGAGTTCTTTCTCATTGAACCACAAGGCGATTTCCTTTTGGGCTGATTCAACAGCATCGGAACCGTGGATAATGTTGCGGCCAACTTGGATGCAGAAATCACCACGGATGGTGCCGGGCAAAGAATCGGCAGGGTTGGTGGCACCCAACATTTGACGACCGGTCTTGACAACATTCAAACCCTCCCACACCATGGGAACCACTGGGCCGGAGCTCATGTAGTTGACCAAACCGGGGAAGAAGGGACGAGCAGACAAATCGGCATAGTGCTTCTCCAACAAGTCCTTGGAGGCCTATTGAATGAAAAAAGAAAACAAATCTAATTAGCACATATAAACACTAAAAATAATTTTGTTTGTTAGCAGTCAAATTAATTTTTTGCAATTTTGTTTTTTTAAACAAAGACACATGTCGGCCATATCTTTTTTGCACATAACCTCAATTGAAAACTATTTTTTCATTTCACTTTTTTTCAAGGTTACACAACATTTCTTCCAGACAAATTTTCTTTTTTTTCCACACACAACTACTTACCCACATGAATTTCATGGCTACCAATTTGAAGCCTTTTTGTTCAAAACGTTCGATGATTTTTCCAACGAGTCCACGTTGGACACCATCGGGTTTAACCATGATAAAAGTACGTTCAGTGTTGCCTGCCATCGCGCTCGATATCAACCAGAAGAATGCCAAAATTGAACCGATCATAAGTACACGACTCCTCTTGCTTCTTAATTTGCTGACGCTTCTCTGCTTAATTACAATTGGAACCACAACCGCTGTCGACAATGAGTTTTCATACATTTTGTATGGAGAGCAAAATATCGTCTTGTGGTTGAGGTAGATTCTATTTTATTATTATTGAAGCGTTGCCATATGTTCATAATATTCTGCCATGTGTTATTAATAACAGAAGATATTAAATGAAAATAATAAAAATTACAAAACATATTATTTTGTTTCTTTTATTTTATTCTAAATAAATTTTTAATCATTCCAATTTTTTTTTTCTTAAAAAATAATTTTAATTTTAAACAAAAACATAATCTTGCTTTGATTTTTTCTAATAAACGTCAAAAAATGTGGTCTGTTGACAGTCGCTTAATTTTAATTCGACGCTCGCTCTTTTTTTGTGGTTTGTCGACAGCGGTTCCAATTGTAATTAAGCTGTCTATTGACTGCGTCGCCGGCAAATGGTGACGACAAAAATGACGTATTGCAAATTTTCTGTATTGCCATTGCTGTTTTATTGTGAATGCTTTAATATTATGGTTACCGCGCGATGTCGTTGACAATCTGCCAAACAATTGTGATTACAGTGAAGGTGACTTATGGTAAGTCCACATGTTCAAGCGTATATAAATACATATATAGGTGATATTTAAACAAGATAAGATACGAGTTTTATATGAAAGCTAATTAAATTATTTTTTGCAAAAATTATAAAATTTTATGTAACAGACATTATAAGTAAATAATTTTAAACCAAATGTATAGGATGATTCGAGAACTGCGTCGTATAAAGTAAAAGTTGCAAACTTTTTTTCTTAAATCATGATTTTTATACTCTACACTACTATAGTGGGTATTATGCGTTTGTGCTGAGTTTTGTTACACCCAAAAGTATTGGTCGTACACTTACCTTAAAGTACACCAATCGGCTTACAATCACTGAGTCGATTGAAATACACATTTCACCTAGTTTAATTTAACTCTAGCCCTCATACAAAATCCCCTTCACAAAGTGACTTGATGGTCAAATTCACTTACACTACGAGATTCTGAATAAATAACTTTAATGTAGACGTAAAACCCTCTATCAACATTTATAGAAAATGCTTTATTGTTAAAAAAATAATCCACATTTTGATCATACTCATTTGTGTAGGGTATCGTATGATCGGCTATGCCCAACAATACGACCTTACTTGTTCTAACAAATAAATTGTACTTATTTTTTTCTGTATGTAATTAACTATATTTTGCTGGCAACACACCTTGTGTTATTGTGAATTATTTTTAACAGTTAAAAATTCTACTGTGAATTATTTAAACTATTCGTTATGAAGGGAAGGTGCTTTAAGTTGGATTCATGATGTAAATCTAATTTGAATAACCAATACATATTATTGATTTATCGTAATTTATAATCCAATTAAATAAAACAAGTATTAAACACAGGTTACATGTCAAATGAATAAATATATTTATATATGAAAAGATTTGGGGTCATAACTTTTATACAACTTTTGAAAATTTCAAATCAAAAATATACATTCCATATAGAATATAAAAAGTACAAGAGTATACCACTTTTTCCCGAGATAGATAGAAAGATAGATATAGAAAGATGGATAGATATGTAGATAATAAGGTAGATAAATCAGGAATGTAAATAGCTGGTATTTGGGGGTATGTATATTAATACTATCAATCCGCTTGCAACACAACGTAATATTACTCGTAGACCCACAAAATGTAGGGTTTCCTTCAGAAAATTACTTTAACGTTCAGAACTTGCTTCTAAATACCAATATCCTGAAGTCCATTCCTATCTTAGGTAAAATATTTTCGTATTTCACTCCAACAGCAAGAGAAGAACGAAAATTATTTGGAATATGTGTTAGGGCTGGTACTTCCCAGTAATCAATGAAAAAGTAATTACAATAGAATTCATAAAGGTACTTAGTATTTGTATCACTTCGTTAAAAAACTAACACTAAACTAACAAATAAATTAATTATAATGAATTTATTTAAATTCAATTATTTGCATTAGCCATTTCCACATCTTCATTACCATATAATTCCAGATGTTTTGCAACAAAAAATGTGGGAGGTTTCTTTAAAATCTAAAAGCATAAAACAATAAAGTTTAAAAATATTAAAAATTAGATTAACGTACATACTTTTGCGGCAGCATCCAATAAAAGTTTCTTATCGAATTCGGCATGTGCTCGAAAACCCCAATAATAATAAAATCTAAAAAATGAAATTCTTTTAAAGTAAGCTATTTTTATCAATGTTAAGTATCAATACTTTGTTTCTGACTCCAATTCACTAACAACTTTTTCACGTTTTAGGTAAAGTTGTTTAACAAAAGTTTCCATTATAAGCTTTTTTAAATTTTGTCCAAAATATGGATGATATTCATCCATTTTAATGCGTAAACCATTAAGGAATAATAGCAAATCCTCTGTAATAAATTGATAAACAAATTGCTAAATTATTTCGAATATTCTTTAAGTTTTATAAATCTCTTACCTTCACTAGTTTTCGTTTGATTTGGAGTATCGGAGCCACGCATAAATAAATACGAAAGTATGACAAATAATAAAGTTAAATGGCGTTGTTGTTCTTCATCGTACAGCAGCAGTGATTTGGCCGTATCTTGACTAATGCAAATATAAGCCTTACCAGTTTTTGAATCCGGAACATCAAGTAACTCTAAACCATAAGTCTGTTTGTAGTAAAAACATCAAAAATTAGAATAAACATTCTTTGCGTTATGGTCGCCTCCTCCTTACCTCCTTCAAAGCTGTTTTTGCCTGATTCAAAGACATGTGAAACAACTTCCCTTTGATATTTATGGTGCTGACCATATCTTTTTCCTTTAGAGGCAATTTTGTGGCGGCACCATTTAAGACAAATGTAATGATACTATTGGTATAATTGGAAATTTCATCAATGGAAAATGATTCCATTTTTTTCGATTTGTTTAAAGTAGTAAAATAATAAAATAATTTGCGCGAAAACAATTTTGTTTATCGCTTCTTCTTTTTCTAAACAGTCATTCACTTCCCTTTGATAACATTTAGTGTTGGAAAACGTTTATATAGATAATATTGAATAATATTAAGTACATTCTACTTTTCAAAGATAAGAAATCAAAGTTTTTAAAAAAATAATATAATAATTTTTGGAAACTTTTTCAGAAATAGTTTAAAAATTCCCTCAAATTAAGAACTACAATCCAGTTTATATTATTTTCTATAGTAGCCTTTTTCATTTTGTGAATATGTTTCTTGCAGCTATCTTTTAGTTCAAATTCACAATAGATGTCGTATCGTTGTAAGTCTTATTGCATTATGCAAAAACGATTATTAAGTTAACAATGATTGTTAAAACCTGTTTTTATATGGAAAAAATGTGTAGTAAACCATTGTTAACTTTAATAAACGTTTTTGCATAAGGCAGTTAAAATTTTTTCAAATTAATTTTTTTAAACAGAAACAAAACAATAAGAAAATACTACAGAGGAGAATTTCTCTGTTGCCGGCCGAAAAGACAATATTAAAAGAACATTTTCATATCGTATTTATAAACAATCATTTATTTAATTAAAAAAGCAACATAAAACAATTTTTGGAAATCAGACGTGAATTGCTGAACTCATCAACATAAACACAATTTTTCTGGGCGCAGAGACTTTTTATTCTATGGATTGTATCCACAAATGCAAAAATTTTGGAACTACCATTTTTATATGTAAAAATGGCAATTCTAAAGTCCAACAACTCCGAAATTGAAAGATAAACCATGATGTAATAAGTAAAGGTAGAGCGTTTCGGCAACAAACACAATACTTTTTTGTTGTATAGAGTTTGGTTTTGTCAAAATGAAATTTCTAAAATTGAAAAATAATAAATATTAGAAAGAAATAGTTTTTGTGTATTTCACAATATACCTATAAAACATTACATTTAGCTTGTATCTGCAGCAGGAAAATGTTTTAATGCTCCTTCATCTGAATTTTCTTATTTGAAAACTTTTTATGAACATTTTAATTCATAATTTTAAATTTAATTTTTTTTTTGAAAACACAAATATATTTTTTTAGAATAAAAATAAATTAATTTATTTTGACACAACCTAAGCACTTTTTAAATAAACAAATAAAAATCAGCTGCCTTAAAGACTTCACATTACTTAGTGCATCCTGAGATAGACAGTAATAATTAAATTCTTAGTCAAAATAAAAAATGTTTTAAAATTAAAGAAAATTGTCAAATATCAATTGGATTAAGACAAATAAAATAATTAGAGTAATTTCAAATTTTAAAAATAAACCTGAAATTTCCGCATAGTTGGCCACACTTTCAATAAATTTTGATATTGACAACTTCACACGTTTTTTTTTGTTGCAACTTTGTATTCACGTGTATTTATTTCTGAGAAAAAAGTAAACATTGCAAATATTTCACAAGAAAAATAATTAGTTATTAAAATTTATAATTAAAAAGAAAAACAATATTAAGTAGTTAACGAAAATGGTATCACAGGAACAAATCAAAGCTATCGGTTGTGTTTTAAACAATAAGGAGAGACCATTGAAGGAAAGATTTCGTGCATTGTTTACTTTAAAAAATATTGGTGGTGCTGAGGCCATTGATGAGATCAGCCGGGGTTTTGAAGATGATTCAGCTTTGCTAAAGCATGAGTTGGCCTATTGTCTGGGTCAGATGCAGGATAAAAAAGCTTTAGGCATCTTAACAAAAGTGCTCGAAGATGTAAATCAAGAACCTATGGTAAGACACGAGGCTGCTGAGGCTATGGGTGCTATTGGTGCCTCCGACATTATACCCATTTTAGAGAAATATAAAAATGATCCTGTTGTCGAGGTGGCGGAAACCTGCAGCATTGCCTTAGATCGTGTTAAGTGGTTACAAAGTGGCGAGAATATTAAAGATAATAATCCCTATGCCTCAGTAGATCCTTCTCCACCAGCTGAGCAAAACAAATCGGTCGAAGAATTGAAAGCCATCTACTTGGATCCCAAAAATAGTTTATTCGATCGTTATCGTGCCATGTTCAGTTTGCGTAATATGCGTACCGAAGAGTCGGTGCTAGCTATAACAGAAGGCTTAAAAGATTCCTCCGCTCTATTCAGACACGAAGTGGCCTTTGTTTTGGGTCAACTGCAAGAACCCTGCAGTATTCCCTATTTGAAAGAGAATTTAGAAGATCGTTTAGAAAATGAAATGGTACGTCATGAGTGTGCTGAAGCTTTGGGCGCAATTGCCTCCCAAGAATGTATTGATATTTTAAGTCGTTATGCTGAAGATGAAAAACGTGTTGTTAAAGAGTCGTGTGTTATTGCTTTGGATATGTGTGAATATGAAAATAGTCCAGAATTTCAATATGCTGATGGTTTACTGAATTTGAATAAATGAGTGCGACAAAAATGAGAAGCTGGAACTTTATTATAACTAATCTTTCTTTAATTGTTAACATTATGTACATATTGATTACATTGATAAATAACGAATAAACTGATAATTCGAATTGATGTCTACATACATATGTAAGTAATGTTAGTGCGAGAAGGGTTACTATTAAGCTCTAAGATTAGAAATTCAAAATTTGAGGTTGCATTGAACTGTTTTATCAAGGCTTGTTTTATCCTCTTGTCAGGTCATTTTTTAGTTAATATTTTTATACAGTGGAAACGTATATTTTTTATATAGGTGTGTGTTCAGTTTGACATTTTTGATTATATACTTGGTAAAAGCTGTACTGGCTACTTATCTAACGCATGTGTAAAATCTTAATGAGGACCGGTATCGAATCTAATTTGATTTTCCTTATTTGAGACATTATAAAGTCGCGGAGACACTTTTATTTATAAAATTAGTTTTCTGATCTCGAAGAACTTTTTAACCAAGCCCCTAAGGTCATTTGTAGTTAATTCTATGGAATAAATCTGCAATACAGTAATAATATAATACATTAGCTCCCTTATGTATAAACGTTATAAAAGCTATACAAAACAAAATTTCCATACAAACCTTGATTTGTTTATAATTAATTTTTTCATCGACCGAAAATCGGCTACTAATAAGAAGTTATTAAAGGGGCTTGTAATCTATATTAATTCTAAATAAAACTTCTGAAAATATTTTATTTTTAAGCGGGTTTTTCCAATTCTTGAATTTAACCATTAGTTGACAACCCTGTTTTTAACCAAATAAAATATACAACTGTAATAAAATACAACTCTGCATAATAAGAAAAAAACCTTTGTCACCACATCTACATTTCACCTCTTGTGAGCAGAGACCCCCGCCGATTCGGTTTAAAGACGACTAAGCCTAGCCGCCGAATAAAATGAAAAGCCGCCGCCGCTTATCAAACATACTTTTTTCATTCGCACACACACTACACAAACATTGCTAGTACAAACACCGATTTTTTCACGTTTTTGTGGACTTGCACAGATACAGATATCAATTTTTCTTAGAAATGGAAATTTTGTGAGAATTTTGTTGTTAATGAATATAAACAATACAAACGGTTTGACAAAAATTCAATACGTTTGTGTAAAAATCAATTTTTTTTTAAATTTTTGTACAAACGAACAGCAAGCATTTGTACAAACACGAAACACCCTCATACACTACACAACAGTCTTGCACAAATGTAAAATATTGGTATGTTTGTCAAGCCGCTTGTGTAGTCTATTTGGGCCTTAATACTGTTTAAAAATTTGGCCATATTTTGTATAATTTACAGAATACTTTCGCTAAATTTATGGAATTTTACAATATAAAATTAATTTGTTTAATTTTAGCAAGTTTTCTTTTATTTAATAATAAGCCGCTCATTGAAATTAGGCCGGTGTAAAACTTTGCTCAACGTTCGATGTACAGTAGGACCTCGATCACCGTTTTCCATTATCCGGCAACATCAATTATCCGGGATAGTAAAAGAAAATTTTTTACATCGACTTAATTTTTTTTTTTGGATTGATTTAAATTTTTCTCTACATGACATGAAATCCTTATCTACATTTTACTGTTTTCTGAAAAAAAAAAATATTTGTTTTTTTATATTTTTGAAACATGAATTTTTATAAAATCCTTGAATTATTTAGTTTTTATATAAATATCTACATTTTCATTAATTAATTAATAAAAATATATATTAAAAAACTGGACAAAATTGGTACCCAATTAAGCGTGAAAATTGATTATACAGAATGCTTCCGGTCCCGACCATTAGGCAAATCGAGGTCCCACTGTATATGTTTCACCTTAGATATTTAATTTAATAGAATAAAATTATATTCGATTAGATTTGTGTACTCGGCCTTAAAACGAGAGAAATTATGCGAATTCGTTTTTAAATGAGAAATTTACTCGGATTTGGTTTACAGAACAGACAGGACTATATAATATTATTTTGGCCAAATAGGCTTTTTTATTACTGAATAAATAAATAAAATATATTTTTAGTACACTACCGTTACCAACACTAAAGAACCGATACCGAAATAAGTCAAAATATCGATAACGCTAAGATACCGGTACCGAATTAAGCCAAAAAATACCATATCACCGTTTCAAAACGGTTGCCATCATTGTTTATAGGTCTTCTTATAAACCTTCAGCGAAAAATCTTCTAATATGCCTTCAACGGAAGGCCGTTTAATAGGCCTTTTTAAGTAAACCTCCTATCAGTTCTCTAACAGAAGCGAGAAGGCAAGCACTTGACTGCCAATGACACGCAATTGAACTTATTTACGGAATATCGAGGGACTATATTCAATAGTCTCTATCTGTCATTTTCATAAAAATAAGATTTTGATGGCAAAATATCCAGCAAACTATCCCGTTTCAGAAATAAATCTAGTATTCACAAAAGCAAAAATTTCCTACACTGGTAGACAATCCCGATTTTTAAAATATTTCCTTCCAAAATCCCGCTTTTTAATCTCTCTTTTTCCGTTTTTATTTAAAATCGTGGAAAATTTAAAAACTGAACGTAGTTTGAAATCTTAGCCGGTTTACAGTCGATTTTAAGCCGCCGCCGATATTTTTATTGTCAGCCGCCGTTAATATTTGTCGGCGCGGGGCTCGGCTTGTAAGCGAAGTGTGAACAATACTTTTTCGTCCGCGGCGTTACGTTGGTGAAGTGGAAAATTTTATTTTAACACAAAATTCTCTTGTTTACATATAAAATTCATTTAATATTTTTATGAAATCGATTATAGCTATTTGCAATCGTGTATTGTGTGCTAACTAAATTAAACCAATTCGTTAAATTAGAACAAAAATAGTGGTTTAAAATTGCGCGTTAATAAAAGTATCCAAAAAAGAGTATTTTTACCAGTATCAAAAGAAAAAGTCGTGTGCCTGTAGTTGTGCGTCTGTTTGTGCTAAAAAATACAAGCAAAGCAACCTACGTTTTTTCTCGTCAGATTTACCGACCGAGAAGTGTGTGGTGACAATTTTAAGTAAAAAAGAAAAGAACATTTTTGCATAAACATTTTTTCTAATAGATTTGCAAATAAATATAAGTTTTAAAGTTTACGTAAAGCAAAAATAAAGAACACGAACAAAAAGAAATAAACATGTCGGAAGTTGTAGAAAATGTGAGTGAACAAAATAGCGCGCAATCGAAAGAAGAAGCAGCAGCAGCGCAGCCAACTGAAACCGTGGAGGAATCAACCACAAATAATGTTGAAGCTACTGCAGTAGCTGTACCTGAGGCAGTTGAAGCAGCTTCCACTGCCACCAGCGAAAATGCTGACGAATCCTTATCGAAGCCGGCTGCAGAAGAATCAACAACGTCACCAAAAGTGGACAATAAAAAGACTCCCGTAAGTACTATATCGCATGCATGCATATTATTTGGTACACAGATACAATATTTGAAGTGGGATATGATGTATTAGTATTTAGTTTTTTTTTATAACGATGACTCGGGTGTCCAATTAACAAGGTTGCGCGATAAAGCTTACCTCGTTTGATTTTATTTCATATCGTCGTCGTTTTGTTTAGTCGTGTTACTTGTTTTTTTATTTTTTCCACTCTATTGTGTAGTGATTAAAATACAAACAAAAATAAAACAACGAAAAGGAATAGGCATATACAGGGATCAGTTGCAGCTCTGCCAACGTCGTTGGAGATATTTTCCCGCGTGTTTTATTGGAACAATCTGGAAAGCTTGTTGTTGCAGCAGTTACATGTAAATTCAAATATGAAAAAATTTTACAACATTTAAGAGAAAAAGTTTACAAAATACACAACATGCTGCACACGTATACAATTCAGTAGTTGTTAATTTTATACCACAGCTTTGCTTGTGGTCTTTTACACACTTATTGTAATGCTAATAAATTTCTTCTACCTGCACCGCGTTTTGCCCCAGTCCAGCTTCTAAAAATTGTGCATTTAAGTTGATGGACAAAGTGCTCGCGGTGGAGGTTTGTATAAGAACGCTACAACAACAAACAACTTTACAAATTCAGTAGCATGCGTTTTTTTAGTTTGTTTTTTATAATTCTTCTATTTTTTGTACGTTATCAATTTTTCCTATCTAATTGTTTTTATTCATTATTGTTTTGAGTTCTCATTCTCTGTATTTGCTTTATGTGTTTTGTGTTTGCTGTACTTTAGTGTTGTTGTTGGTGGTGTCTGTTTTGCTTTTGCTTTTTTTCTTCTATATTTTTATTGTATTGCGTGAGGGTTACCCTCGTGTTTGCGTTTATAATTATATTAAATTTGTGATGCCAGATTTGTTGGTTTTATTTGTTTTCGTTTTAAGCAAAAAAAGAGAAGAAATGTTTCTGAAGTGTTGTTTGGAGTTGGCGTTGGTTTGAATTTAGAAAATTGAAGATTAATTTAAAACTATTTATCCCTTTGTAGTTGAGTTTAACAATATTTTGTGTTATTTTCGGGAAGAATTCTTGCTTCAAAGCTTTAGGTGATTGAATAATTTAGATTTTAGCGGTTTAGGGTTTTTTGTATTTGTATTTGGAAATTAAATGAAATTTTTGTATCTCACACTACAAAGCCGTCATTTTATTGTAATGTCGTTTGGCCGCTGATTATGAAAGTATCGTCGTTAACTTAAAGCTCTACTTTTCTCACTTCAAATATGATTGAAAATGGTGGGAAATACTCAATTTCAAATCTAAAAACTGAACATAATTATAACAATTTTACAAGTAATTTCAATGTAATTTCAGAAATATGATAAACTTTTCAAGATAACTTTGTTGGAAAATTCTTCTTTTTCGAAACTACAAAAAATTTAAGCTTACGTTATGTTTTCTAAACTATAATTTTGTTTTCTCATACCTATTAGTACGAAGTATGTATATTTTAAAAATGTTTTCAAACTTTGAAGATATTTTTAACGGGGGCGTAAATTTGTACTAATACGGCCAACTAGATTATTTTGTTAATAGGTCTCAACTCTTTTTTTAATGTTCTTTTTAAATTTAGCAGTTATATCATTTCAATATTTATTTATTGCACAATTACATCATAATATTTTAAATAAAGTTTGACGGAAATTTAATTTGTACATTCAATTAATGCTTTATAATTTAATTTTTTAATAGTTCATAATGATTACCTATAAAAACAAACACGTTGGAAGTATCTGATTTTTGTTACAAATGTTTAACCGGATTTCAAAACCTTCTTTAGAAGACATATTTAAACTGTATTTATTCAAATATTACGAAGCGATATTCAAGCTAATACTTGTAAAGTATTAGTTTTTCTGAATATGTTGTTGTAATACCAAAAACTTTACTATATGCTAATCCGGGGGTTCTACTAATTCAGAGTTATGTGTACAAACAAATTTATTGCAGAAAGTGAATTTGGTTTGGCTGAGTATTTCAATATGTGGGATATCATCACCACAAGCTGGACATTCGGTATGGTTTATCTGAATGTGCCAGAATGAATCTAGTTGGTTTTCTTCAATGTTTGCTTTTGGCGGTAGGCGACCTCAAGTACCGATCCAATGCATATGTTTTTCTTGTAGCCATTCCCAAACAGCCAAAGGTAGTTAAAACCGGCAGCAACCACATAACTCTTATTGTACAAATGTATTTCTAGTGGAAAGGGAATGATGCCTTTGTGTTGATGATTATAAGGCTTTGTACTCATCCTAATGTATACCAATTTTACTACTTGAGTTAAATAACAACAAGCTGGTCGTTTGTTATGTGGAAGGCACGGACTATGGTAGACCAGTAGGCATTAAGCCTGTTGCTCCATCCCTATCTCAGTTATGCCAGAATTACACTAGTTTTCTTAAGTGTCTGCTATTAGCGGTAGTATTTACTGCTGCATAAAAGGATCGATACAATGGATCCTGCACACATTATTCCCACTACAACCAAGGACTGTCAAAACCAGTAACAACTAAACTAATCTAAATGTACAAACATGAATAATGTTCTAATGTTTGTATGGACTTTACTCGCCCTAATGTACACTAATTTTTTTTACTATTTGAGTTAAAATAGCGATATTCGTCAGTACAGTCCCCATTCAGGACTTCATTACCATTATCGAAATTTTGTAACTATTTTACACACAAACTACAGATTTCCAGAAATATATACTCATGTTTTTTCGAAATTAAAAAAAATCTTCTTTTAAATACCATAAACTTTAAATGACAACATCATTGGTTAATATAACTTTAATATAATTTATTTATATGGGTTTTTAATAGATTTACATAAATTTGTGTCTTTTTTTATTATAACATTTAAATAACGTAAATTTTGTTGTTCTGCTAAACTTTAAATTAAAAAAGAAGAGGAGAGTTCTTGCCTTTCTTAATAAACATTCAGTTTTCGTTAAATATTATTTGCAAATTTTATATATATAATCAATATACATATTTATAAGTTAAAATATAATAAACTTTTAGAAAATTTACATTAAAGATTTATTAATTTCGTTTCGATTTCAGAACAAGCAACACACGAATAGAAAAAAATAACATGTTACACAGAAAATAATAAAAATTACACAATTTTCAAACATTATTATTTATATATTTTACTAATATTTATGACTGTACATAATAATGTACGTATTATATGTATTTTTATGTATAGTTTTTCTTTTAGTTTAATGTTTAAATAGATAATCAACCAATAGAACTGTAAAGAAAAGAAACAAAAATATAAAATTTTATTTCAACAGTTGAAATTTAAGTGTTTGCTGATGGTTCAAACTTACTTGGTTTATTTTATTTGCTATTATTGTTCAGGTTTTGTTTTTTTTTTTTTGCATTTTTTCAAAGTGACACCTCTTTCAAAAAGGGAGGGGAACGAACAAAAACACTAAATAAAAAATACTTTTCTTTCACTCAGCAACATTGTATAGTTGTGGAGTTATTTAGTTAGTTGCTGTTTAATCTTCCAGATTTCTAAAAGCCTGTTGCATATCCTCATGTAATTGTTCAAAATCAGTTTTAATTTTACTTTCACCATCTTTAACAGGATCCTGTTTGAGAAGAGATAAGAATTTCAATTAATTTGTAAATATTTTTTATAGAAATTTCCATAATTACCTTAAATTTCATAGAGGACAATTGATACATAATATTACCCATTGATTCTCTTATAGTATTCCAGGTTACTTTATTATCTGATTGAGCTGTTGATTCTACAGCATGTCTGGCTAGTTCATAGAAAGTAATCATATTTCTTAACATGCCCACAGTTTTGTAAAAGGGGCAAACACGGTCATAGGGTGAATAGGAGTTTTGTTGCAAGAAATCATCTTTCAATAACTTGGCCACTTCCAGAGTGATTTTATCGGTTTCAGCTAAAGAAGCTTTACCCACCAATTGTACAATTTCGGAGAGATCTTCTTCCTCTTGTAGAATTTCCTTAACCTTAGTACGTAGTGGCACAAATTCGGGGAAATTTTTGTCATAGTATTCATCCAAAGCTCTCATATATTTCGAATAAGAAATCAACCAATTGATAGAGGGGAAATGTTTACGTTGAGCCAATTTCTTATCTAGACCCCAGAACACTTGTACAATACCCAAAGTGGCGGAGGTAACAGGATCAGAGAAATCACCACCGGGTGGTGATACAGCACCCACAATAGAAACTGAACCCTCACGTTCAGGATTACCCAAGCATTTAACACGTCCCGCACGCTCATAGAAAGTAGCTAGACGAGCACCCAAATAGGCAGGATAACCGGAATCAGCAGGCATTTCAGCCAAACGTCCAGAAATTTCACGAAGAGCCTCAGCCCAACGTGAGGTAGAATCAGCCATCATGGCTACATTATATCCCATATCACGGAAATATTCGGATAATGTAATACCCGTATAAATAGAGGCTTCACGAGCTGCTACCGGCATGTTAGAGGTATTTGCCACCAATGCGGTACGTTTCATAATGGATTCGGTAACGCCATCTATTTCACAAGTTAGCTCAGGGAAATCTCTTAAGACCTCAGACATTTCATTGCCACGTTCTCCGCAGCCGACGTAAATAATGACATCAGAGTTGGAGTATTTCGAAAGAGCCTAGAATTGTGGAAAAGATTTGAGATTTAATTACTTGTTCAATATATTTTTAAATTAGTGCTAAAAAATTCGATTATAAAAGTTTATATTCTGACTATTTTCTATAATTACAAAGAAAATACAAATTTAAACAAGATTTCAAAATTGCTTTCAAAACTTGTATGTTCGAAATTGAAAATCTTAAGAAATCGCTCTCAAATAAAACAAAAATTTATTATATATGAATTTCTATGGCTTACAAATAATTTTTAAGCTTTAAAATTTTTTTCGAACATAAGTTCGAATTTTCGAAAATTAAAAAAAAGTAATTTTTAACAATTCTTTTGAATTAGGCATTACTTTACAAGCTTTAAAACTTTTTCGAACATAAGTTCGAATTTTCGAAAATTTAAAAAATTCATTTATAACAATTTAGAGGTTATTTTTTGTTAATTTTTGAACAGAATATAGCATTGTAGTTATATTTTCGAACATTATATGAATTTTTCGAAAAATTAAAAGAAAAACTTTGATTTTAACAGCTTTAGACACTTTTCGAACTTAACTTTGAATTTTCGAATATAATATTTCCCTGTCTAAATCTCAGCCCCTTTGGGCAGGGGAAACTGGTTCAAAAATCTAATAAATTTTTCCACCAAAATTTGTTAGATTGTCAGATTTTTTAACACAAATTCCCAACTCTAAAAGTATGAATCAATCTATTACCAACACTCACCTGTGAAATAACAGTTTTGCCACAACCAAAAGCACCTGGAATAGCCGTGGTACCACCTTGTACACAAGGGAACAAAGAATCCAAAACACGTTGACCCGTAAACAAAGGATGATTAGCAGGTAATTTCTCAGTACAAGGCCTTGGTTGACGTACAGGCCATACTTGCAACATAGTATGTTTAGTTATCTCTCCATCAAACTCAGTTTCCATTACAACATCCTCGACGGTATAGTTACCAGGAGGAGCAAGATATTTAATGGTGCCCCTAGCCCTGGGAGCCACAATCATACGATGTTTTACTAAAGTATTCTCTTGAACTACACCAAACAAATCGCCCCCGGTGATATGGGAACCAATCTTAACATTTGTGGGACTAAATTCCCACGATACGGTACGTGATAAAGCGGGTACATTAACACCCTTGGGTATATAAATAGAACTGGTCATTTCACCAATATCCTTTAAAGGTCTTTGAATACCATCGAATATACTGCCCATAATGCCAGGACCCAGTTCTACCGATAAAGGTTTGCCGGTTCTTAAAACGGGATCACCCACTGTTACACCGGAGGTTTCTTCATACACCTGTATAGTGGCCATATCACCCTCTAAGCGAATAATTTCTCCCACCAGCTCATAGTAACCCACACGCACTAATTCGTACATAGCGGAACCCGACATGCATTCAGCAGTTACCACTAAAATTCAAAAAAAAAATTATTAGATTTCTTGTAAATTATTGCAAAATAAAACTAGTTAAATACCGGGACCAGATACTGCATAGACACGACCATAGGTCGATTCTCGCTCTTCATCATCGAAACGTTTTAACAATGACATGTTTTGTTGTAATTATTTTCTGAAAATTTAGCAAAATTATGACATCTTTTATAGCAGTAAGTCTTTGGCAGGTGGCTGTTACATACACTTTATTTTCGGGGGTCACAATTGTTTTTTTTTTTTTTTTTTTTTTTTTTGTTGTAAAAAATCTATACTATTAAATTTAGGGTGAAAATTTCACTTAATATTTTACTTTACACAGTTATTACATCAATTTTCTTTTAGTATAATTTTGACAATTTGTGTTTTTTTTTGTTTTAAAATATGCAAAATTTTTATTGTCTTTTTATTGTTTTTTTAACAAAAAAAAACATTTCTGCAAAATTTTTACAAAAAATCAATTTTGCCAAAGAAAAAAAAGAACTCTCTGGCTCTCTTTAATTAATAGTTAAGGCGAATATTTAGAAAATTCCCAAATTTTCACCTTTAAAAACTTTTTATTTTAATTCTATCTACTGCTAAATTTTTATTATTTGTTTAACAATTTAAAAACTTATTTCATTTTAAATTGCTTATTAGCTGTTTTTTTTTTTTTTAGAAAAATTATGAACATTTTTCTTAGAAAAATATACTTACTTTTACTCTGTGTTTTTTAGAAATTTTATTAGGTTCTGCTTTGTTGAAAATCTGCTATAGACTGAAGAAAATCTCATGAGTACGATTTTCTTCTTGTATAGAGCTGATTTTTTTCGGTTATTTCACTGCGCACTAGAAAATAATGCGCGTAGAATATGATTGTCATATTGAAAAAAATCAATTTTTCATTTACACAGTTGTTGTGGTTTTAACTTGGCCATATTGTTGTTGATTTTTAGTGGTACATATTGTGAAAATATGGCTATATTGGCATAATATAAAAATCAAGAGGTTTTGATTTGAAAATGATGAACAGAACAGAATTAAAACGAAATTAAATTTCTTCTTGTTATTACGATTCTGGAAATATTAGAAAATAGGTCTTTGAATGAAATCAATTATCCTTTCTAGATCTTGACGTCTTTAGTAATGGAAGGAGCAGGAGAAGACTTTTGTCATATTGTTCCTCCAAAAGTTCTCATATGTTTGTATTAGGAAATTAAACAATTTATATAAGATTAGGTTTAGATTTGGTAAGCAGTCTGTGTTCTAGCACACATTGTTGTTGTAATAGCTTCGTTGTTGTGAGATGTCCTTCCCTGGTTTCGATTTGATATTGCTCTAGATGAGTTCACAATCTTTGGGGATTGGAAATCAGGTCATTGCGGAGCGAAAATATTTGAGAACAAGTGAATTAGTTTTGGTTTAAAAGGGTTGTGTGTCCTACATACACTCGGAGACACAAAGATTCTCTCGAAACCCCAAAGAATCCATTGTGATCATTTTAAGCACCTAGAATACCCGTGGTACTACCTTGTACACAAGGGGATAAAGAATCCAAAACACGCTGACCCGTAACATAGCAATGTGTTTTGGATTCAACATATGTAGTATGATTAGTTATCTCTCCATCAAACTCAGTTTCCATTACAACATCCTCAACTTTATAGTTATCGGGAGGGGCAAATATCTTGCCCCTGTGGTACCCCTAGCACTAGGAGCCACAATCGTCACGATGTTTCACTAAAGATTATCTTGAACTACACCAAACAAATCGCCTCCGGTAATATGAGAACCAATCTTAACATTTGTGAGACTAAATTCCCACTATACGTTACGTGATAAAGCGGGTACATTAACACCCACATAATTCGTAATTTGCTCGCATTTGTGTCTAGTTTAGGTCACAAGGTTTTGGATATCCTGCAATATATCCCAAAGTGCCAGGATTGTTTAGTAGAGTCTCGGAATTTTCGAATATCAATCCTGTTGTAATAGTAAATAGGGGAATTCGCCTCCTTTTCTCTACCTGTGGCCACTTTATGTGCGATCTCATTTTCCAACATCTTCTAATTGTGTATGAACCGCCTCTACTGTACTAAATCTTATCAGAAAGCCTTGATTTTTGATTGATTGTCAACATAAATTGTTACTTTCAATGCTCGTGTTTATCTTTACCTTTGCCAGAAAGACGGGAAAAGATCATGGCTAACGATGGCCAATTGTTTACGTCGACAATTTGCAAAAAATATCGTAAGTTTAGGTTATTTTCCTCCCGAAATCTTGGATTAACTTCAACATATCCATCTTTGCTGCTGATGTTGAGTTGAAATATTAATCCATGCTTAGACTAATATATTGACTTATCCATAAATGTTGAGTTAACAATCTTAGGCCTCGTATGGCTTGGCTAGTTTCAGAGATTCATTTGATGTTTGTTATTGTAACAATTCTCATAAATTTTATATATATATTTTTTTCTAGGTCAAACGCACCCCCTCCAAACGTATGTCCTACATAGAACGTGCTCAAAAGGAAAGTGAAGAACTGGTCAAAACTATGGGCGGTAATCTGGATGTGGAAGGAGGCAGACGGACACGTTCCAGTACACGTGGTACACCCACCAGATCGGCAGCAGTTGCAACACCACCACCCGCTAAAAAGGCACGTACTTCACCAGCCAGTGGGGCATCAACACCGACACGAGCAAAGGGACGTGGACGTAAACTAGATACAGCTGAGGATGGTGCTGAGGAAGAAGAAACTAAAGCAACGCCAAGTAAAAAGAAGACGCCAGCTAAGGGTAAAAAGGCAGCAGCAGCGGCCAAACAAGCCGTAGCTGATGAGGATGAAGAAATGGAAGAGAAACCAGTAGAGGCCGCCAAGGAGGAGGAAAAGGTATATAATTGAGAGTTCGTTATAAACATAGAGAAACTTGAATATGATTTTTTTATTAACAGAAACCCCAGGATGAAGAAGAAAAACCCAAGGAAGCAGACAAACAAGATGACACAACAGACTCAAGTGCCGTTGTAGAGGAAACTAAAGAAACACCTGCCAGTAGTGAAGCCACCAAAGAAACTACTGAAGAAAAAGTAAAGGAAAAGGAGGAAGATAAAACGGATGCTGTTTTAGAACCAGTTGCAGAAGAAACCCAAAGTCAAGTAGTAGCTACTGAAGAGAATGTCACAAAAGAAACTGAAAACTCAGCCGCCGCCGCCGCCGCCGCCGCTGTTGAAAAGGTAACGGAGGATGTAACAGAATCGGTTAAAAGTGACAGTCCTATGGAAACAGAAGAAGAACTTAAAAATAAAGAAACTGCAGCAACAGCAGCAGCTGAAGAAGTAACAGAAGTAAAAGAACCCACACCAGAACCCATGGAAGTTGATTCTAGCTCTAAAAGTAATGATGCTAGCGAAACAATAGACGAAGATGTAACTGATGCCGTTAATGAGGAAGCTAAAGTGCTGAATAATGTTGAAAAGATTGAGGACACCGTAAAACAAAACTCTGTTGAAACTACACCCACCGCCCCAGCTGCTGAAATTGTAGCCAATAATTCTATAGAGGCTAAAACAGTAGCACCAGCTGCAGCAGCCACCGAAGTTGCCAATGAAAATAATACAGATGACACCAACAAACAAACACCTGCAGCTAATGATTCAAATAAAACTGAAAATGATTTGTGTAAGTACAACTGCTGCTCCTAAATAATACAATTAAAAAATTGTTAATTAAATGTTTCTTTTTTATATTTTTTTTTCTTAGGTGAACCAAAAATTGCCACATCACCCCCAATAACGGCGTCTACTGACAACAGCTCTGTAACGACGCCGCAAACTTGCAATTAGATAAAAAGTGAGACGAATAGCTTTACAAAATTGCACACACAAATAATATACATACGTCGTCGTCTATATCATTTTTAAATAAATTTAACAGATAATGAAAGTATAAATGATAGAAAGAAAGAAAAAAAGAGTAAAACCCTTTAAAATTATCAACAACTTCCCCCCCTCTCTCCCGCCTGGCATGTTGTGTTTTATGATTTTTAGTGTTTTTAAATAATTTTTTCCAATATATTTTTTTAAAAAACTATAAAAGTTCTTTTTATATATATTTTTTAATTCTCTTGGAATAATTTTATTTTTTTATTTTATTATTTCCCCTTAAAACAAAAACAAAAGAATAATTAAACAAGAAAAAACAACTTAACAAAACGTACATTAGTTTCAAAATGTATAATAATTATTACATAATTAAACAAAAAAAAAAAAAAAATACTTTTTATTTTAATTTTTTTTTTCTTTATATAAAAAATCTATGTATATGTAGTTATATAAACTTAACTTGATTGCTAGTTTTATGTCTACAATTAAAACAATTTTTTAAAAAAACCCCCACAAAATGCAAATAAAGTTCAATAAAAAAAGAAAGATGAAAAACAAACCTGAGTCTTTTTTAAAAATTAACTTAACAAAACAATCATTATTTGTTAAAAAAATTACCCATAGAATATATAAATTACAAAAAAAAAAAAACAAATTTATTTTAAAGTAGTTTTAAATTATGTAACAAACTAAATTTCATTATAAAAGTAGTTTGCAACTGGTAATGCTAAATTTCAAAATTTCATTATTTTTAACTTTTTGTTCTTTTTCATTACGATTCATTGGTAAATAAGAGCAATATTAATTTAGTTATATTCGTATATTCTATCTTTTACTAATGTTTTCCTTAAGTAAAAATCTCTACAGACAAATTTTAACTGAATTCTTAAACAAAAATATAATATCCTGCTATATGTATAGTTTAACATGTATAATAAAAACAAGAAAGAAAAACAAAAACAAATTTGTTGTAGTTTTTTTAGTCTATACAAATTGTTATACGTTTTTTTTTTTAGTTTTCAACATAAAATATTGATATCCCCTCAATAGTTTATGTTTTTCATTTGATGATGTTTTTAAGGTTGTTTTAAATAATATAAAATAATGAAAAAATAAAATTTTTAATTAAAAATAAAAGTTTGTTTGATTTAGGTATTTTACTTTGGGAAAAGTTAAATTTTGTTCCTTGAAAAGAATGAACAGGTGACACTTTGCTTAAGTACTCGAGCTATCTAATATGTGCCCATTTCTTCCGAGATTCAAAAATATCATTTACGTTTAGAACCGCGCAAAGGGATGGTCTCTGTTGATTCAGCAACAGCACCTGGTGGAACGAAATACAAACGTTCCAACGACAATTGGATTTTCGCTCCGGAACGATTCCCAATCGACCAAAGATTGTCAACTCAGCATTTATCCGAAACATTTACTGAAACATTTACCGAAACATTTCTACCTTTCAGCAACAGGCCACAACATTTATGGGATAGCTGAACAGCTACCTTAGTGTCATCCACATTTTCTTCATTGGACGTAACCTGAATTCCTCTGCAACCCTTTTTACCACCTGGACCAAGGAAGTATGGCTAGAGCTAAACGTTAAAGTCGTAGGCGCCAGAATTCCGACTGTAAGTCACCCGAAAATTTTGGGTGTAACGTTTGACAGCCTCATTGCTGCGTCCGCTCATGTAGCTGCAATCTTGCACAAATTGCAATGTAGGAACAAAGTACTAAAAGCATTTGCCGGCAGTACATGGGATATGGATAAAGAAACCTTATAAAGCGGTTGGTGTACGTACTGCCATCAATGTCGTTACGCGTTGCTTACAGATGTCCTCAGAACACCATCTTCATGAGGATATAAAGATTTTACCGGTAATAAGGTACTTGGAGGTCACCCCCAACCTATTGCAGAAGAAGAACACATACTGCCACGTTAAACAAGAGTAGTTCAGGCACAACTAAGATCTGGATGGAGCAATAGACTTAATGTCTATTGGAGCAATAGACTTGTGAGTCGATTATTGGCAACCGAACTTGCGTTGCCAGCTTCAAAATAAGAGAATGTTTTATGTCTAGAAATGGCTCAAGTCAATTAAAAACTCATTGGACGAGTAATATTGATGACTAAAAAATTCATTATTTATAAAATTTCCAAGTTATTGCTTTAAAAACGTTCAGTAACCACATCATTTTGGCAACGCAGCTGAAGTGGCAACCGAGATACATAATCGACCCGTTAATGTCTATTGGTCTCGTTTAGAACGCCTTAGCATACTCTGCCTAGCCTGTGGTGAAGATAACCTTTTTCATTGTTTATACAATCCCAAGACACTCAGTCCCGAAGACCTGCGGACTTATCCAGTTGAGGTTGCAGAACATCTTGATCTCAATGATGCAGAACCATAGTTATATTTATTGTATTTCAAGCTACAACAAGACCATGACAAGACCAGGGACGAAAATTTGATGCAATAGACATCTTTTTATTGTTAAATACTTATTTTATAAAATCTTAAATTAAATTATTTAAAATTAAATAAAAAACTAATAATACTCATAATAGTTAATTACATATTAATTAAAATTTTAACACTTTATATCATTTTCATTATCTTTATCAGATATTGAAATTGTAGCATGATCCTCTACTAAAGAAGGATGTGGAGTCTTTAAAGGTACTTCTTCCCTTTGGACAACAGGTTGACTTAGAAAACTCTTAACGAAGGGTGAATACAATTTGGGATTCATTTTCTCCTCCTTATCACGTTTCCAAATATAACTCATGGGTATGGCCGAAAGCCATACCAGAAGGACACCCATTAATTTATACCAATAGAAGGATACTTCGTAAATAGAAAAATCACGATTACTGCCTAAAGTGCCGGTGACAAGAGGCTCCTCGTTAGTGGCCAGTGAGATAGGAGCACTGGTACTAATAAAGTTAAAAAGGTATAAATACTTTGAAAATTTAGTTTTTGTCCAAGAAAGAAACTTACATGTTTTGCAGCATTCCTTGCAAGTTGATATTTTCACAACGCTCCAATGTGGTGGGCAAGGGTTCGTATTTTATATAACCAGCCTTAAAGCGCATTTGTGAATTTACAATGATCCATAACATGGCACCAACACTAACTGCTATCGAAAGGAAAGCCACCTAAAGAAATATAAATAATTAGTTAATGTTGGTAAGATATTAAACAATTCATTCTTACCTTGCCACTAACTCTGGGCACAAACATGCCCAATAGAAATACGCCCACTACTGCTCCTGTATTAATGCCCGTTATGGTAATAATAGTTTGTAAAATTGAGGTAAATCTTTGCACCATAAAACCGCCCAATATACAATAGCAACCCATGGCTACCACAAATATTTTCATGATATTATTTGCCCGAGCATCTGTATGCTTAATAAAGGGCTTGATGTAATCAAAGTAAACCACTCCGGCAACTGAATTCAACATGGCCGACATGGTACTTAAGGCAGCACTAAAAACACAAGAAATGAAAATACCAGGCATGCCCAACAAGTGGCCCATAACATCTTGCACAAAGAAAGGCATCATTTTGTCCGCCTTTTCAACAATCTGAAAAAGAGAGTGTTATAAAAATGAGAGATTAACCGGGAAAATATTTATTAACTTACACCTCCTAAAATAGGATCACATCCATAGTATCGAGCAAACATAACTAGACCAATGAAAGAGTTAAAGCTCATTATAATGAAAACACCAATGCCAACTATAATTAGGGCTCTGAAATTGAAAATTTGAATCATAAAATGAACTTTCACTAAGTTATAATAAACTTACTTTCTAGCCTGCTGCAATGAAGGTAAAGAGACAATTCTTTGAACACAACTTTGATTTAGACCAATATGACCCACCCACAATAATATACCACCACTAAACAGATTCCAAAATGTTGAACGTATACGAGGGTCCATTGAGAAACTGAAATATTAACAAAGGCGTTACAATATCATTTGCATTTCAAAAGTTCTTCATAAAAACTCACTTAAAATCCAGACGACCACCCTCACCAGCATATTCCAGAACCTTGTTTAGACCACCTACTTTAAGAGTACCTAAAACACCCACTAACACCACCGAAGAAAGCATAATGCCAGCTTGCACCACATCAGTCCAGACAACAGCTTTAATACCACCCTATAGAAAGTGAAAAGAAAATTGAAAATGAAAAAAAAGTTTTTTAAATATTCGCGGAATTTAAAATACTTACCAACATGGTATAGAATATACAAATCGAACATACTACTGTATTGATTAAGTGTATATTTATGCCCGTCACTGTAAATGAAAATGAATTTTAATCCATTTGTTTTTTTAAGGTAAATAAAGTATAATTGAATTAAAAATTTATTTCCATTTTACCTTGAGAAAATGCCAAAGCCGGTACAAATATATAGACGGGCAACATTAGGCAGGCATTCAAAACGAAGGAACCAGTCACTAATTGGCGGGTACGCTTATTAAAACGCAATTCCAAATACTAATGATGAAAATCAATCAAATAATCAAATTACAAAAATATTTCTGTACTTGTTAGATTTAGTGTCTTAAAATCAGGAGCAAAATTTCGATCAAAATTTTTATGAAATTTAAAAAGATCTTTTGAATGGTGCGATGTGCTTCCTGCAATGAAAGACCTTAATAGTTTTGAACTAAATACATATTTACCTCATAACAATTTGAAATATTATTGTTGTAGAATACTGGTACAATAATATAATTCAAAACAGGAACTACAAGGATTACGGACATCACAAGAAAGAAATATGTAAACCAAAGGAGTAATTCTCTGCTGGAACTGACATAATTGCAATACCCGAAAGTTGACTGAAATTGAAAATAAATTAATGTTGAATTTATTAACTAACCTACTAACTAACTACTAACTAACTAACTAACTAACTACTAACTAACTAACTAACTAACTAACTAACTAACTACTAACTAACTAACTAACTAACTAACTAACTAACTAACTAACTAACTACTAACTAACTAACTAACTAACTAACTAACTAACTAACTAACTAACTAACTAACTAACTAAACTAACTAAATAACTACGAACTAACTACT